TTTCTTATTTAATAATGAATTTAAATATAAAATAATAATAAAAATAAAGAAAGAAAAGAATAAATTAAGAATGAATAAAAATAAAAGATAATAGAATAAATGATTTCATATTTGTTTATCATTAATTATATCATTAATTATATTATCATTTATTATAAATATATTGATTATTCATTTATTATTATATTTATTATCTTTTATCATATTTTATTATTATATTATTAAATAAAAATAAAATATAAAATGAAATAATGAATAAAATAAAAATAAAATGAAATATTTAATAATTATAATTTATTAAAAATAAAAATAATTATCATTTTATTTTATTTCTTATTATTTATTGTTTTTCATAACAAATATCAATTAATAAAAATAGAATGATGATAAAGAATAAAAAAGAAGAAATTAAAATATAAAAATAAAAGAACTAATAAAAACAACTAATAAATAATAAATCAAGAATGAAATTAGGATATAATGAAATAATGATAACATCAATGTATTTTAATGATATTAAAGATTTTATTAATTTAGAAATAGGAATTAAAAGATTTCAAGGAAATATAGAACGATTTCATTTTAATCCAATTCCATTAAATGAATATTCAAGAAAATTGTTTCCTAATATTGAAACATTTCATATTTATAATAGAGGTGATGAAATATTTAATGATGGAAGAATATTTAAAAAAGTAATATGGTATTTAGTAAGTTATTCAAAATATTTACAAGAGAAAGAAGCATGGAATGAATGTAAAAATATAAAATATACAGAATCAGATAGAAAGAAATATGGAAATACAATACCACCAGAAGTTAAATCACTTGAATATAATTGTTTTTCTGAATGTTCATCATTAAAATCAATTAATATACCATCATCAATTACATCAATAGGAGATCGTTGTTTTTATAGATGTAAATCATTAAAATCAATTAATATACCTTCATCAGTTATATCATTTGAAACTAATTGTTTTAAAGGATGTTCATCATTAACATCAATGAATATAGATAATCTACATTTATTAGTCAAGAAAGAATATTTATGATGACCAGTGTTAGTAGTATTGAATACATATATCTA